CCCTTGCACAGGACCTGAGTTCGATACCTAGCACCCACAAAGCAGCCCATAAGTGCCTGTATTTCCAACTGCCGGGGGCCATGCCCTCTTATTTCCTCTGTAGACACTTGCACTCATGTGCATATACACACAACAATAAAAAATAAGGGCTGGAGAGATGGCTCAGAGGTTAAGAACACTGACTGTTCTTCCAGAGGTCCTGAGTTCAATTCTCAGCAACCACACAGCTCACAACCATCTATGATGAGATCTGGTGCCCTCTTCTGGCATGCAGGCAGACATGCAGGCAGAGCACTATACATAATAAATCTTTTAAAAAAAGTTTGTTTAAAATTAAACATTAAAAAAAAGCCGGGCGGTGGTGGCACACACCATTAATCCCAGCACTCGGGAGGCAGAGGCAGGTGGATCTCTGTGAGTTCGAGGCCAGGCTGGACCGACAGCCTCCAAAACAATACACAGAAACCTTGTCTCGTAAAAACCAAAATAAATAAATAAATAAATAAAATAAAATAAATAAAATAAGATTTTTTTGTTGTTTTTTGAGGGTTTCTCTGTGTAGCCCTGACTGTCCTAGAACTTGTTCTGTAGACCATGCTGGCCTCAAACTCACAGAGATCCACCTGTGTCTGCTTCCAAGATTAAAGGCCTGTGCCACCACTGCCTGGCTAAAAACAAGATCTTAAAAAACAAACAAACAAACAAACAAACAAAGGACCCACAGGAAGATGTATAGACTATGTTCTACGCTGCTCACTTAGAAGCCACAGACAGTGCTAGAATGAACACTTCACATTGTCCCGGAGAGGGCAGACACTTGGGAAGTTGATTTGATCTCAGTGGATTCCTTTTTTTTTTTTTATGGAATGATTCACGAATTTGCGTGTCATCCTTGCACAGGGGTCATGCTAATCTTCTCTGTACCGTTCCAATTTTAGTTTATGTGCTGCCGAAGCGAGCACTGGCTTCCCTTTTTAATGAAGTCTGCTGTATGAATTACATAAATTTCAGCAGCAATACCTGATCTTACAGTGTGGTTTGCTTAATGTCATGCAGTTAAAGGAAGTTTTAAAGAAATATGGTAAAGGTGTTTGCCAGGAAAAGTATTTGAAAGTGAGCAGCAGCATGCAGGAATGTACGGTAATTCAGCTCAGCCTTGTACCTCACTGTCAGCAGGTTGCAGAGTTTGCTTCTTTTATTTTTGGTTGTGAGCCTAGCCTTTAACAGCTGAGTCATCTCTCCAGCCCCAGAGTTTGCTTCTTAACCAGAGGGGTTTCATAGTCTCCTCTCTGAATGTCTTGTGCCACAGCCGCCAAGTTGAGCCAGAACTGAGTTGAAGAGTAGAGTTTGAATGTCCAGTGCATATCAGAGGGGCGGGGGTTCTGAGATGCAGCCACCCGCACAGAATACTCAGTGTGCTTCTTGTCTTCCCTGAACTCCTTGTTGGGTTTTGTAATATGATGTTCCAGTAGATACATCTCTGGGAATCAAGTGAATACTTTTCAAAGCAATATTTACTTTACAAAGGGGTCAGCCTGTCGCCAGGCGGTGGTGGTGCATGCCTTTAATCCCAGCACTCGGGAGGCAGAGGCAGGCGGATCTCTGTGAGTTCGAGGCCGGGCTGGACCGACAGCCTCCAAAACAATACAGAGAAACCCTGTCTCGTAAAACCAAAACCAAACCAAACCAAAAACAAACAAACAAAACAAAAAAACAAAATAAAGGGGTCAGCCTGCTTGGGAATATATTAGTCACTTTTTTTTTGCTGTGACCAAATATGAAAGGGACTTAAGGGGAGAAGGATTTATTTGACTCACAGTGTTTTAAGAGGATACATACAGTCCAGTATGTTGGGGAAGGTGTGGCAGAATTCAGGAGCGTGCCCTGGACTCCTCATATCTGGGCAGACCAGGAAGCAGCAGGAATGCTGGCGCTCAGCTGGCTTCCTTTCTCCCTCTTTTATTTATTCCATGGGATGGTACTACCCTCATTCAGAGTGGACTCTCTCTCCTTAGCTAAACCTCTCTGGAAATGCCCTCAAAGACACACCCAGAGGAGCACAAGATGGCTTAGTGGGTAAAAATCACTTGCTGCATATGCCTGACAACCAGAGTCGAATACCAGAACCAATAGCAGAAGGAGAGAAAGTACTCCCACAGGTTATCCTCTGACCTCCACACATGCTGCAGCTAGCATGCATGTACCCGTACTCACATGTACAGCGTACACACAAAATAATAATAATTAAAATTAATAAACACCCATGGGCTGGAGATGGCTAATGGTTAAGAGCACTGGCTGCTCTTCAGAGGTCCTGAGTTCAATTCCCAGCAGCCACATGGTGGCCCTCTTCTGGCCTGCAAGCATACATGCAGATAAAGCACTCATTTACATAAAATACATAAATCTCTAAAAAATAAAAAAAGGGAACACCCCTTGCTGGTTGAGTAAGAATGTCCCCATAGACTCATAGATTTGAATGTCTGAAAGGATAAGAGGTGTGATTTTATGAGAGGAAGTGGGTCACTAAAGATGGGCCTTCAGATTTCAAAAGTCCAGTGTGGCTTTCTTCCTGCTGCCTGTGGATCTGGATGTGGAACTCTCAGCTACTTCTCCCCTACCATGTCAGCCTGTAAGCTACCTTGCTCCCCACCATGCTAACAGACTAAACTTCTGAAACTGTAAGCAAGCCCCAATTAAATTATTTCCTTTATGAGAGTTGCTATGGTCATGGTGGCTCTTCACAGCAACAGAACAGTGACCAAGACACAACCAGAGGTGCTTCTCCTAGGTGATTCCAAATTCAACCAGATTAACAATGAAGATTAATCATCGCACGAAGAAAACTTCGATTCTGTATCCTCCACTGGACTCAGTGCTGGTTTATAGGTGGTGCTGGTGAATAGGTGATACTTTCTGTCGTCCCTTTTTTGATTTTTGAGACAGGATTTCTCTGTAGCTTTGGAGCCTGTCCTGGCACTCACTCTTTAGACCAGGCTGACCTCGAACTCACAGATTTTCACCTCTGCCTCCTGAGTGCTTGGGATCAAAGGCACCATCACCCAGGCAAGATTATATCCTTTTTAGGAGTGTTTTGTTTGAGACAGGGTCTCACTATGTAGCCCTCCCTGGTCCGAGACTTGTTATGTAGACCAGGCTAGTCTCAAATTCAGAGATCTTCCTGCCTCTGCCTCTTGAGTGCTGGGATTAAAGGCATGCACCACTGTGCCTGGTCACTTGTAGTTTTCTTGAAGGGCTACTTTATTATTATTGTTACTATTATTTTTTTGAGACAGGGTTTTGCTGTGTAGTCCTGGCTGTCTTGGAACTTTCTCTGTAGACCAGGCTGGCCTCAGAGATTTTTCTGCCTCTGTCTCCTAAGTGCTAGGGGCTATTTTTGTTAACTTTGTGAACAGGTATTATGTGTCACTCTGTCAACAAGGCATTGGCTGGGTACTAGATCTATACTGTCAAACACAGCCCCTCCATCACAATGTGTTGACATGTCTTTGAATTTCCTATAAATGCTTATGAGATAGCTGACAGAAAAGGAATATTCAGTGATGTTTATTATACTATTAAGTGCTTCTCATATACTGGACAATATCAATCAGTGTGTGAAAATGTGTTGATTTTATTGTTATGATGATGATGAGGGAGGTTCCATTATCATTCTTCAGATCATAGTTTGGCAGGTTTCTCTATTGTGTTAATCACTGGTTTCTGCCACTGCAGAACTGTCTGAAGTTCTTTACAGTGCTGTTCCCACATCCCCAGTGGAGAGTCAATGACCAGCAATCTCCTAGGCCAGGCTGGGCAGTAAAAGTTAGAGAACCAATGCTTTAAGGATGGGCCTGTTTGGGTCAAGTGAGATAGCCCTTTGTCCATAGCTTAATGTCGATGTCTGATGTTGCAGATGCCAACTTGGTGTCTCCTAGGAAAACATCCTCTGGAATCTCTTCCAGAGCTCCCACTGAGAGTTAGAAGGCTCTAGTCCAGCAGACCCTGGGACTGCAGTGTTAGGCTGGTAGGTAAGCTAGAAGAAGAAGAAAACTACTATTTTGTTAGGACATCAACCTACAAATGGAAACCTGATTCTCAAGAACTTACCCAACAGTGCATTTACTGGCTGTGTGGTAAGGTGTGATCAGGACTTTGTCTCTACATCTCTGTAATGCTCTTAGCTCTGCTCTGGCTGTAGGTTGAAGTCCTAGCTTTATAAAAAAAGTCAAGGTTGGTATAAACTTGGAGCCTTCAGTAAGTTCCATGAGCTGGGCTGATGGAAATACAAGTAGAAAACACAAGGCAGACACAGTAACATCTACAAGAGAAGAAATTCAGTGCATCATGGCTTTTGTTCCTACTGAAACCTAAACTTATTCCTGGTATCACAGACATTTACTCTGAAAAAGGCTAATGTTCATCCAACCATCATGCCCACTCAATCTTCTCCAATATATGCCAAGTTGCTAGCCAACCAGTACTTCTCTGACAGAAATTCGGGACAGGGGAGGGAGACAGGGTTTTTCTGTGTATCCTGGCAAGAAAATGTATTTTTCATTAAGATTTTCTATTCTGTATTTAGAATAAGCCCATAGATTCTCAGTGCATCCTTGTGAGGACTATGTGTTTTCATTTGATACTTGAGTAAACTGCAGTTTAGACAGGTGACTTGATCATTAACCACTTAAAGGTGGAGCAGGCTGGGGATACAGCTCAGTGATGGAATTCTTGCTTAGCATTCCTAAGGCCCTGGGTTTAAATCCCCAGCACTGCGAAATAAATAAATAAATAAATACATATATACATACATACATACATACAGTGGGGCAGGAGCTTGACCTGGGCTTTCTGTTGCTAACTGCTTTGTTTTATTAGTCCATATTAATCTGGTGTTTATTGTTATTAAAGGCTTTAGGTCTAAATTTTATATTTTTTTCCATGCAAGTACCAGAAAAGCAGTCATTCAATCATAAGTGAAATACAGGTGAAGCATTTCATAACTGTAAGGCACTGGACAAATGTTTATTTGAAAGCCAGTAGGATTGACATTCGTTTTCTTTCAAATTAGGGAGGACTGGACTGTTAAGTGAAATGGAGACAATACCTTTTTATCCTTTACAATAACTCTTATTGTGATGCTGGCTGAGTTAGGAACCTCTCTAAAAACAGATGTGACTAGAAGGAATCCTTGGGATGAACTCTATCAGGGAACAGCACAGTGGAACAGCAGACCTCTGACTCAGCTCAGCGATGTAAGGACCTTTGCAGTTAGTGAAGTTGCTCACTCCCGTCACTGTTCATTGGCCTCAAACTCAACAAGGACTCACTAAGCACTGGTTATGATCAGGGGTCCTTCCCTCCTGTTCTTAATAAGGACCACTGAGATCAGAGTTTGATGTTCTTGGCCCTCTTAAAAGTTAGTGGTAGTTCATGTGCATCAATACACTACATTCATTGTGCCTTTTAAAAAAATCAAACATTCAAGAATAAAATGTTAACTGAGGGGGCTGGATGGCTGAGTGGTTAAGAGCACCTGCTGCTCTTCCAAAGGACACTGGCTGCTCTCCTAAAGGATCTTGGGTGGCCGGAAAGCTGTTTCTCTGGTCTCTGTGGACATGGGCATACACACCCCCCCCCCACACGAATGCAGACACAATATTATTTACATCTTGATAGTCAATGATAAACTTCCTTATCACACCTAACCTCCACTGATGCCAGGAATGAACCTTTTACTCCTACTTCATTTCTTTTTTTCACCCATGTAACTTTTTGATCTGTGCTGTTCTTTAAGGAAGCCATTAGTCACCAATGGTTATTGGGCACTTAAAATGTATATGCTGTTAAATACACTTAAGATTTAAAAAAATGTATGCAAAAGTATTGAGTAGTCTTTAAATACCACTTACTGAAATTTAATACTTTGGATATAGCAGGGTAAATAAAAACACTGAAACTTCACCTGTTTCTTTTAAAAATGGCTACTAGATTTAATAGTTTGTGTTTTATTTTTGTGCTTTAGTTTTTTGAGATAGTGTCTTCCTGTCAAATATATGGCCTCAAAATGATAGGAATCCTCCTGCCTCAGCCTTTCCTAGTGCCAGGACTACAGATATGATCCACAAGTCCAGCTCTATTTCTAGTGAAGGTGCTCCTGCAGATCATTACTCACCTTTTAGCCCACTTTTGTACTTTCTTGCATGCTCAAACAACTGAAATCTGTGTGGGGAGAATACACCTGCGGTAGTCCACATTTGATTATCAAACTGAAATGGCCATCACAGACTTTCTGTCACAGAAAGGATTATTACTAATGAGTGGCATATACCACATCAGACAGTGTCTTTTTGGTACCTTCACCTAGAAGAAAATTCTTTGACATGCTATCCTTCTCCCTTCTCTATTTTTTTTTTCTTTTACTTCTAGTCACTAAAATGTTAGCTCTTCCTGAGAAATTCTGTTACTTTCCATCCACTTAGTCCATAAGTAATCAGTCTGGCTCACCTTACTTTTGCAGTAGTTTCTACATACTTTCCCAGTTCCTTGTCCTGTGCTTCTTCTATACCATATACTCCAACTAGAGTTTACCTAATCATCACAGAATTCTTCTGTTTAAAAACAAAAAAATTCATTGATTTCCACATTGCCTGTAGGAACAATTTTTTAGGATGAAAGGCTTCCCGCCCCCCTTCCTCCCCCTTTAGACATGGTATCACTGTATAGTCCAGGCTATTCCCAAACCTTAGCCATCTCCCTCAACTTCCCAAAAGCTGAGGGTGTCAGGTGTTGAGTCACCACATCCAATTTTCAAGGCTTTTCAGACCTTTTTCTTGGTGCTTCCCCTATAAAGTCTGAACTAGAATGGGTTAATTAAAGTACTTAGAATCCTGTCTGGCTTATGCTTAGAACAGTATGTGTTCACTTTTATTGGATTTGAACACACTGTATGTTAAACATTGCTATTTATTTTCCTCTTTGAACACCTCATCCTCCAAAGAGAGGAGCACTTTAAACTATCAACAGCTAGTAAGGCAATTGTCATTTCATTGCTTTTCTAGCAACGTAAACATCTTCCTGAAGAACTTGTAAACACAAGCCTAATTTACCACATAAAAATAAAATTTCAGACTCAATGGGGTAGAAATAAAAAGTAGTATTTCTTTCACTCAAAAACCAGCTCAGTCGTGGTAGCCATGCCTAGCATTCCCACAGTTCTGGATAGGGTGCCTAGCACCACTGCTGGGCAGGGAGTACAGCAAATTTACAGAACATTTGGAGGAAACAAACCCTGAAAAAATATACAAATAGGTTTGGACTTAGGGCAGCTGCTCCCAATTTGGGCATATGTTGGAATAACCTGGGAACATTCAAGAATCCTGTCATCTGGACCCCATTTAGATTTATGGAATCTAAGGCTAGGATTCAGCACTGAAGCTTCATAGGTGATTTGACATTCTACGAACAATCAAAAGTTTCACAGGTGATACTGACCTACACTTGACAATCACTGGTCTTGTCACAAGAAATGTTGGCTTAAGGAGGTTGGGCATTTGTGTCATGTTTTTCTCAGTGATCTCATCAAGTATGTTTTTGAAACAGAGAACTCATTCACTGCTTTATGAAAAATATGTGTTTATGGATAGCCTTTTAAAAACAACCTCCCCAAAGCCCGGATCCCTGGAGTTTAAGGCTTGAAATTATATATGTACATCGAGGTCATATAAACGTGTCTTTTTGGTCTGGCTTCTATTTATAAGTTTCAAAAGAGTGACTTATCTAAATATATATTTAGCTATGTACAATATTTACAATGTAAGATTTTAGGACTGCAAATCAGCATTAAGCCTGTAAACACGGAAAAAAGTTGGCAATTTGCGGTTATAATTTCAAAACATCAAGAACAGCTTTACCTCAAACATTTTCTAATAAATAGCACCGCAGTACCTTCCCCGAAGTATTACTTCTCAGTGGCTTATTTTTTCTCAACAACTCAGGGTACCCAAGGTCACGGTACCCAAGTACTAGGACATAGCACTTTTTACGGGGTAGCAGACTGATGGAAAGCTTGGATCTTCAAAACTTTACAGCAAAGCCCCTTTCACCCGCCAATCCTGGGACAGTAAATCCTGTAATTCTCCCTCATCGTCACTGTCAACATTCTCTTCCTCCTTTTTCTGCAGTTCTTTTATGGTCAGAACCTCCTTAAGTTTGTTTTTTATTTCATCCTGGCGATTCCGCAGCTTTTCCACTCGACGGTAACACTCTATCTGCTCATCAATCTCTCCAATCTGCCGGTCCAATCGTCCCTCCTCATCCTCTTCAGCAACTATAGCTTCGGAAATCGTGTTAACTTGCCTCATGGCCTTTTGAAACTCGTCCCATTCTTTGTCCATCTGGTCTTTTGGGGCATCAACCTTCCGGACCTTTGCGTCTACCTCAGGGTCGTCGAAGAACCCTTCTGGTAGTGCTTCGGCGGTGTTCTCTCTCCTTTCCACCACCTTTTCGTGTATTTCTGCTTTCTCAATTGATCCTGAATGAGGAACTAAGGGGGCCTTGGGAGGATTTGTATTAAAGGGATCATTTGGCAGCACACTGCTCGTGGTTTCTCTCGGAGAGGCAAGCGAGTGTTCGCTGTCTTTGCCCTGTGCATCTGGAAGATGCTTGCCGCTGTCCCGCCTCCCGTCTCCATCTCCTTCTTCTTCCTCCCCCTCTTCCTCATCTTCATAATCAGGGAGTAAACCGAGTCCAGGCTTACTGGAGGTTGCCCTAGCAGCCTCCTTTCCCGATTTCTCTAAGTTGGCGGACGAGGTGGAGGGCTGTACCTGAGGTCCCACGGAGGCCTTGGCTTTCTTGGCGTCTTGGCTCTCCGCATCCGCCGCTCTCCTCTTGATGGGCTGAGGCGCCGCGCCGACCGACGGGCCCTGGGTTGCTCCCTTGGTGCCTTTCAGTTCGGCTACTCTTTCCCGGTGCTGCTTTCCCAGAACATGGGTCTGCCACAGGAGCTCGCTCTTGACCGGAGCGTTACAAAGTGCGCAGCTCAACTGCCCCAGACGGTTGTATTTGGCGAACGGGGATTCGATCCTCTTCCGGTTGGTGCTCAGGCGTTGCTTCTCCCTCATCAACCGCCTCAGTTCTTCCTGATTCACCACCCGCTTCCCCGCCGGATTCCCAGCAGAAGCGGAGGACGCCATGTTTGCGCCAGGGGTTCGGGCGATTCTGGCTTCCGACCGGGCGAGGCGTGATACCGTCACTTCCTGTCATGGGGCCGTTGGGCCGACTGGCGGAAGCTCAGCAGTGTAGGCGCGGCGTCAGGGTTCCGAGTCCGTCGGTTGCGGGCCTGGACCGTTGAACCATGGCTGCGATCAAAGTCGCCAATCCTTCGGCTGAGGTGACGCGCAGCCAGGCGGCCTTGGCTGTGAACATATGCGCCGCCCGAGGGCTGCAGGATGTGCTGCGGCCCAGCTTGGGTCCTAAGGGCGCGCTAAAAATGTGAGAGGCCCCTAGGGTGTGTGGGCTGGTGATGGTCTGTGAAGACCTGCGAGCCAAGCCGCAGCACGCAGACGCCGGTTTTCCTCCCTCTCACATTCCGCTCCCAGAAGCCTGTAGCTTGTTTGCCGAGGAGAAAAGGCCCCACCAGTGGAAGTTGTGACACCTCCTTTTCACTAGGGTTCATAAACAGCCTATTCATACCGTGGGTCGCTTGGAAACGTTATGTCTTGAACGCTTCTGGAGCACCCTCCATCCCACTCCTGTTGGGGATGAACTTAACTTTGTGCGCGCGCTCAGCAGACGTTGCGCTGCTGCCCCAGTATGTTGTACTGACTTTGGAGCTAGGCAGGCATAGGTTCAAATTCAAGTTCCATCATCTTCCATCTGTTAGTACTTAGTCACATCATTGTTACTCTCTGTATTTAGAATTCTTTATATTTATTCATCAATTAGACATACGTTTATTTAGCAACATTGTTCATTTTACACAGGAAGAAAAGAGAGAACAAAAGGTCTCTTAGCAAAATGACACCCGGAGAGGAATGAACAAATTAATAGTAAACGAGTCACTATACACTAGATGCTGGGAAAACAATCTTTAAAAGATTGGTTTAATTTATGTGTATGCACCTGTGTTTATCTGTAGCAGGTGTATGCAAACACCCCCAGAGGTCAGAAGGTGTCAGATCTATAACTTGAGTTATAGGCAGTTGTGAGCCATCTGATATGGGTGCTGGAAACTTACGCAAGAACAATAAGTGCTTTTAACCGCTGAGCCACCCCTCAGCCCTTGAGATAGCATCTGTTATTAAGGTGACATGGTAGTTACAGGTGTGTCAATTGTATATAGATGCAAACGATTTTTACAGAGGAAAGGGTCCAATAACCGATGGCTGAAGGAAAAGCCTCTCAAATAACAGGGGATGTTTAATCAGAGTTGTAGAAGAATGAGTTGAGCAGTTGGTGAGGGGAATAAAGGCCACCCAGTCATGTAAATCCATCAGAAACAAACATTATAATGCATTAAGGGGACTTAAAGACCTTCTGTGGGAATGATGGTCAATGGAACAGGAGAGCTTGGGAAAGGCTAAGTATGTTATTGTTAAATTACTTTGATTTTTACCTTGAAGATGGTGAACATAAAATCACTGAAGGATTATTGACCAGGCAACTGAGTCACATTGCCTTTTAGAGAAATTTAGTGCAGAGAGTTGATTAAAATTTGGAGACAAGATGGCTGTCTAGGCAGTCTAGAAACAATAATAAAATTGGAGAGAAGAGGCAAGGATTCAATGGTACTTTAAATTGTGTAATTGACAGAATTTGGTCCATTTAATAAATGCAAGGGATGAGGCAACTAAATTCAGTGACTGAATTATGACATTTACCAAAATAAAAGCCTGCAGATTTGTGCTTTGTTTTATACTTTTCATTAGCCAATGTTTATAACCCACCAGCTACTCTCTAAGCTCATAAACGCTCCATTTGAAATGAAATCACTATAAAGTCGTCTGGGAGAAATAATTCTATGAGATACAAGTGGCATTCATTACCACAGTATCACCCCATTCAATGTAGAGTTTCCAAGCCCAATCATTTGTGTTTAGAACAGTGGACAGCAAGAATTGACTGTGAGTGGGGTGTTTTTTTTTATTCTTGACTTATGGAGTTAATAAGTACCATTCTTCTTTGACCAGGCTTGTTTCTGGGGCAGGTGACATCAAACTCACAAAAGACGGCAATGTTCTGCTTCACGAGATGGTGAGCTAATGCTCTTCTTCATTTTCATTTCTGAGGCAGTATCTGCCTGTGTAACCTGGCTGACCACATACTCCTGCCTCAACTCCTGATTGTTGGGTTCTGACATTTTATACAATACTCAGCTGCTGCTGGCTTTAATAAGCCTGTAAGCCTCAATTAAAAACATGGCACATAGGTTGGGAATGCAGTTCAGTGGTAGAGTACTTCTCTAGCACGTGCAAAATTCTAGGTTCAACACTGGGGGCGATAAGGTACGCTTTGTATAATATATGCAAGTTTACTTAAAGATTTTTTTTTGTGTGGGCTGGAGAGATGGCTCAGTGGTTAAGAGCACTGGCTGTTCTTCAGGAGAATCCAGCTTCAATTCTCAAACCTACATGCAGCTCACAACTATCTGTACCTCCAGTTCTAGGGGATCCAACATTTTCATACAAGCATACATGCAGGAAAAACACATAAAATGAAAGAAAAAATTATTTTAGCCATGATTAGTGGTGCACACCTTTAATCCCAGCACTCTGGAAGCAGAGGTAAGTGGATCTCTAATTTTGAGGCTAGCCTTGTCTATACAGTGAATTCCAGGACAGCCAGGGACACACAGAGAAACCTTGTCTTGAAAAGACATTTGTTAAATATTTTTGCAGTGCTAGAGATTGAGCATTGGGCTTTCATATGCTAGGCGAGTGCTCTTTTATCACTAAGGGACAGCTTCAACCTTACAATTTGTGTTTTAAAAGATGTATTGATTTTAAAGTTGTATGTGTATGAATGTCTGTATGAGTGTGTGCAACGCGTATGCTGGTGCCTGCAGAGCATTAAAGGGTGTCAGACCCCTTGGATCTGAACTTAAGACAAGTGTAAGCCACTTGCTACGGGTGGAGGGCACCAAACTCCACTTCTCTGGAAGAACAGAACACACTCTTAATGGCTGAGGTAACCCTCTAGCTGCACAATGTTTTTGTTTTTGTGTTTGTTTTTTTGAGATAGAATTTTTCTGTGTAGCCCTGGCTATTCTGGAACTCAATTTGTAGATCAGGCTGGCTTAAAACTCACAGAGATCCACTTGGCTCTGCTTCCTGAGTACTGGGATTAAAGACATGCACCACCACAATTTGTATTTTTAAGATAAGGCTATCGGCTAAAATCTACACTCTTGAGATAGGGTTGTTGGATTAAACATCAACAAAATGAATTTTGGCTGTTTTCACATGTTTATAGAGTCTAATACTTTAGGAATGGTTAGGAATTAATAACATCTTTTTGGAGCACTTCATCATAGTCTTTGTAATCATGGAAAAAAGAAAAAGTCCTTTGCCATTTTCATAAATGTATTCATCTTTGAGATTGAGGGCTTAATCTTTTCTTGGAAATGTCACTGCATTTTGAGTCAAAGACTTTCGTAAAATGTTCAAACCTCATTAATTCTCAACTTTAAAATTTTGGATTTGACATTTACTAAATATTGATAATGTAAAACTTGTAAGTGTGCAGAATGAAGTTTGTTTCTTAATTTTACTATTGACCCTTTATCAATAGTAAAATTATTAGAGCTATCTTGGATTTAGTGGCCTTCTTTATCACAGTCCCTGTCTTTTAAAATCTGGTGTTTACCTTTTCCAGCAAATTCAACACCCAACAGCTTCCATCATAGCGAAAGTGGCGGCAGCACAGGACCATATCACAGGAGATGGCACTACATCAAATGTCCTGATCATTGGGGAGTTGCTCAAGCAAGCTGATCTTTACATTTCTGAGGTATTAAAATTTCACACTATTTCAAAGAAAGTTTTGTTTTTAAGTTTAATTTTATAGAATAAGAACTAATTGCAGCTGGGTGGTGGTGGTGCATGCCTTTAATCCCAGTACTCAAGGATGCAGAGGCAGGCAGATCTCTTGTGATTTCAAGGCCAGCCTGGTCAACAGACGGAGTTCCAGGACAGGCACCAAAGCTACAGAGAAGCCCTGTTTCAAACAAACAAAAAATAAAAAACATAAAACAAACTAATTGCAAATAAAATAATCTTAAGCAGTTGTAAGTGGAAACAGATTTTTATTTTGTGCCAAAGTAATGGCTTTTATTGCATATAAAGACCAGATACTCTAATCCAATCTGTGCTATTATCATTTATAAAATTTCCTCAATCTAGGTCCTCATAATCACTGAGGAAGGCAGCCTAGGCTCAGGATGAGGCATTGTCTCAGAAAAATTTATTTTGATTGGAATTTCAGACCCACAGAAAAGTTGCAAGGATATTGCAAAGAATCACCATATAGATTTTATCCAGGTTTCTAAAAACATTATTATACCTCTGCTATGTTCTCTGTGAGACATGTAATTAATATTAGGTATCTAAATGTTTTCTGAATCGGTGAGAGTAAGTTGCAAATGTGTCTTAATTTCAGTGTGACTTTTTCTTTTACTTATTTTCGTTTTAAGACAGGTTTCACTATGTAGCTCAGCCTGGTCTCAAACTTATTGTGTAAATGGGACTGACAGCTAACTCACCACCTTCTGGCCCCAGTCTCCCAAGTGTTGGGGTTACATACATGTACTCCCAGCACTTACTGTATAAGTTTTAGAATCATTGCATTCTCATATATAGTCACAACAAATGGATATAAAACAGGAAATTAATCTTAACATCAACAGCTCACAGAGAATACTATTATCCAGTCTGCAGATTTCTTTCAAATCATAAGAGTCATAAGAATGTCTTTCACAGAAAAAGGAAACTCTAGAATAATGCATTGTTTTAGTTGTCATGCCCCTTTAGTCTCCTTTAAGCTGAAATAATTTCTGAAGTGCCTTTTATAGTTCACGGAATTGTTACTTTAAAAAATTACCCTTAGGAGGCCTTACTCTCTCCAAGGAACAGATGGGAGGTGGGGGGGAGATTGGGGGAGCAGGAGGAGAGGAGGGAGGGAGAACTAGGATTGGTTATTTAATAAAAATAAAATAAAAATAAGAAAATAAAAAACAATGATGACCCCAGAGGGTTGAGTAGAACACTCAAGAAAGTAGGGAAGAGGACTAGGAGTTGGAGG